TGGCTGCTGCAGTTCATATCCTCAATAAGCCAACTTCGGGGTCTCAAATTTTTTCCAACTTCCTAACACTTGTTCCAGTTTTCTCAGATAAGGTTAGCGGTACTTGCCCAAAAAAAACTTCCGTCAATGGAGTGAGGGGAGGGGGAGGAGTGTAGAGAGCATATCTGCAACTGGAAAAACAGGGAAAAGTGAACAACCGAAACATTTCACAGGAAGAAAAATACTCCAAACGGTATTATGGTGATACGGTCGTATATGGTCGCGCCACTCCCTCCAGCGACGAAATACGCCCCTCTTGCTTGGGATCCCCGATGCACGACTTCCCCTTACTAGAGCTGAGTAGTACTAGGTGCAACTGGACATAGAGATTCAGGGTGACGCACGTGAGCCATGGACGAAGGAAATGGGACTCGGCGACTAATTTCCGTCAATACCATAACGGCCTTTATTTTTGAAAGTGTGGAGATGTTTTAGCAAACAATAGGAGATCACACACGTTTCACAGGGATGAAACAAAGTATGAAACAGAGTGATTGCGCCACGTAGTCGATCACATATTGGAATTGTGGTGGCGTTTGAAGGTGCAAGTTTACGTTTTAGTTTTAAGTTCACTGTGAATCATAGGCTAGCCAATGTAAGCATACACGCAGAATTTACGTGGGTAGCAGGTTTTATAAAAATCATCGACGTGAAACGAAGGAGTCCTGATGACATTCACGATCATAAGGCAAGATGGATGGATACTGTAGATGAGAGCTTAACTAACTATTCTGTTTTGATAATTATATTCAATAGAGCCCATTAGAGCGGTATAGTTAGTTAAAGCTTATTATGTGCCTGTGACACCTCACATAGTGCACCGTGCTCAATGCTCTCAAAGTTACCGTGCTAAATGCTCCTGAATCAATACATTGAAGACAGATTAGACACACGCCTCTGAGGATGGTTCCAGATGTTCGAGGCGAATGGGTGTGCAGTTGCAGAAGCGTGCCATTTTTTCCGCTCACGGTCCGGGAGGAGCGGTGGAGTAGCGGCTGGTGGTATTGCGTGCCATCTCCGTATCCGCCCGCGCTATGTTCATCATGCAGGTAAATTGAGTCGATACCAAAATTCACAAAGAATACGCAGTCAGAGGTAGGGAGAACAAGGAGTGGCTTCTGCGAAATACGACCCCCCCCCTAATTCCATCCTCTGATACGACCAGGGCACATCATTGGTTGGGGATTTCAGTCGAGTCCATACGACCTGCAAGATTTGGGTGGGAAAGCGTGCGTCCCGTTACATCCGAGCCTCTCTGGCTTGCGCTTTGACATTTCGGAGAAGTCTTCGAGAGCTAGGACTGAATGAGTTCGAATTGCAATCTATGTGCACTGTTGATTCATAGAGGCTATTTTCATCTGAAGTTAGTGCATTAGATCATGATCATAGGGCGTACTATCATATATTTTGTTTCAACAGGTTTTGAATCCGCGTTCAATAAAATACTTTCTCAGTCTAAATTTTCGAAAAGTAGGAAATCTCTAGATTGAAGGGTGGCTGAATCTGTCCCACCGTAAGAACGACATGTTATCCACATGTTCATGCATATTACATACATAAAAATGAATTTCACCTCGTGACTGAGGTGATCCTATTTTTCTCATGGTTTTAACTGTACACTAGTGTTGTTTTTCAAAGCTGCTTAGCGCTAGCTACCGCGATGAAGCGTTTTTAGAGACGATCCAAGTAGGGCATCCTTATGGTTAGTACAAAGTTCGCTAAGTTGAGTTCTCTACCTTCTTTAGTAGATCCAAATTTGTTTCAGAGGACTTTGTGAAACCAGTAAGAATTAGTTGCACGGACTTAACTGCTACTCGATAACTTGTTAGTCATTGATCATCACCAGTGACTCAATATTGTACTACAATGAATAAAGTTCATTGTTGTTACGATGCTCTCGTAGTAGAATAAACCTTTTGAATTCACCTCAGGGCTGTGGTAATAAAATGGAGCGCCCCAATGAAAAGTGTATCAAAACAGGCGCCTTTGAGTTTTTTTTTCAAAGTGGACCTCGGCATGAGTCTTGGATATGCAACCGTTGTGAACTCATACAACTTGTATTATATTGCTGTATATAATATACGGCCTACATTATTATTGTTATAATGCAATCATATATATTTTATATTAGAATTGAATATGTTTTATTAAGATGCTATAATAAGTCCTAAGAATGAAGAAATGATCATTTTTGAAAGTGTAAAAGTGCGGTCAGACAATAGCATAGAATAGCTCTCCAAACACTGTGTAAAAAGTAATGAGATGAAAAAAAACCGGTAGAGAGTGCGCAATAGGAATGTTTCTGTATTATGAAAAAATAAAGAAAAGTTCAAAACAAAATGCGAAATAAACTAAAGAAACTGTTCCAGGGGATGTCTTCCCCAACACTTGTTGTTGGGGAGTCTAGCTCGCTGGATTTGTTGCGTGGCGGTTCCCCAACTAGCTTTTTGAAATGGGTAAGCGACATACGGTGGAAAGAACCCTCCCCTCGAGGATAGCATACGTCGCTTGCTCGCTGTAACAAGTGGAGGAAAACGCTATAGGCGCCTGCAACCAACCCCTTCCTCCTGGCACACCTCTTCACGCAGCGAACCAAGCGTTGCTAGATATCGTCATTATCCTGTACTAATACGTAACATTAACAACATTAGGCATTTCTGCGCACTCATCTTGTACCAACCCCTCCTAGTACGAAATTGTTTGTAGGCGACGTCAGATCCAGCAACATCACGAGAAGTAGCAATCCGTCGAGCAAGGCAACTAGAGCGTTTCGTTAAACGTGTTATTCAACACCCAAGACTTCGCGTGGATTGTGATGTTCGTGATTTCTTGACCATGGAGGTGTGTGTTTTTCCTAACAATTTTTTCACACATCATTTTTCTTTTAAATTTTTGTAAATCTAGGCTGAATTACCACGTGCAAGTCAAACGTCTACGTTGTCTGGCGCAGGTGTGAAGCGAATATTCAAGAGCGTTGGAGAGGTTTGTTGTGCCTCCCTCTTACGCCAAACACTGAGATTTTGACGCAGCGGGCGTCAGCATATTCCGCACGCTGTCTTATTTATATTAGTTATAGAAGATAGTGAGCACGTTTCTCCTATATCTCGACTTCGTGGAGGGCGTGGCCGCGTGCTTTTTGAACATAGCTTGAGATCCGTTTTTCTTTTGTTGGATCTTCTGTTCTATTGTCTTGTGCTGGACAGAGTCATTATTACAATTGTCGCAAAAGGGCGATATCCCACCAATGGAGTAGACCAAGTCAAACGAAGTTTGCAGCCACGTCCATTCCATCTTCAGTGTATGTGTGTTGTAAAGGATAGTATTTGTTGCGTTTCCTTGGGAGTACTAAAATGCTTGTCGTGAGAGAAACGGGAAGTTGTCAGAAATAACTGCTTTTCCTGTGTACCTATGGTCGGGGGGGAGTGATGTGGAGTGTTCAGCGTGACTTCGCGACACCCTGTATGCTTGTCTGTACTCTTACTGTTCTAGTGCTCACCAAGTTGGCTCTTCCCGAGGAACTCAACCGAGAGTGCGAATGATCAACAAATTGGCCTAGTCTTGCTTCATGCCCCCCTACTACCTTAGGGCTGTTTATGTTAAGAAAACACTGCTTGAACACTGCAAAGTTGTACTGTTTAGGTATTCTCCAAGATGGCTTTTCATATGGAAGAAGGTGACCGCTGGTTTGAACAAACACAGTCACATGTGGACGAATTGGATGAGTCATTGAGAAGACTCTTGCATCTATCGGAATCCCTCACAGCCACTCGTAAAGAACTGGGAGTCGCACAGGAAAGCATGAGCAAGGTTGGTTTTGTTTACACGTATCTTTGCAGAAGTATAGCCAGTTTTCTATCGTTCTGTAATTTTCTCAGTCAGTTTCTGATTTCCTTCGTTAGGTGGAGGGAGTCTTTGCTCTATATTTATGTTCTTTTACTCATGAAAAACACGGGAATTCTTGACTACAACACGTTTTCTCATTTAGGGTTTGTCAATGCTGGCTTCGTGTGAAGAATCTACCGCGTTGGCTCGAGCACTTTCGCATCTTACAGAAACTGAAGAAAACGCTGCAGCACTATGGACTAAAGCAGTCCGAGATGGATGCAATCAGGTAACAGCCCTTCGACTACAGTTATTTCCTTCTCTTTGTGGTCCGCTTTCCAGCATGACTGTCACGCTCTCTGTTATGTTGCCCTGTTCTTAGAATTTCTTGGTTTCTCAGGTTCACCGAATGTCTGAGTGAATATGTCGGATTGGTCGGCTCAGTGAAGGAGTTGTTCGCTGAACGTGTACGAGTATGGCAGACGTGGCAAACAGCACAGCAAAATCTTGCGAGGAAACGAGAGCAAAAAGCACGGTCCGTTATTCCTTTGTTCCCTTCTGCCTTACCTGTGTCTCTCTTCTCGAATTTTTCTGCTTTCCTTGACCTTGCTTTTCATTGCGTCCTTTTTCTCTCGCGTTAGCTCATAAGCTTTGCAGTTTCATCAGAACACTGCGAAGGTGGACTTTCAGTGGTAGTTTATAGAATGGATTTCGCGCAGTGATGAAACTTGACACCGCGCGTCATGTTGCGATCTCACGCGCGGCATTACTTAGTTGGCCAATATCGATCGAATGGAAAAATCTGGGTACCAGTTTGGGGCTACTATTCAGAACATTAGGAGTTCTTTGGCTCAGCACGGATAGACAGTTTGCTTATTCGCTAGTTCAGTTTGCAGGAAAAGGTTAACTGACAGGTCTCACTTTCGTAAGACCTATGGGCTCTTTCGATGCTTCGATGTGGTACAAGTACGCCATTTTACTAACAGAATTTTACAGGTCTTCACAAGTTGACCCTATTGCTTCGCCCCACCCCTGTGGGCGGAGCTTAGTATAGGTCACGTGTTCTCTGAACATCGTGTCTCATGCCCTACCCATCCCAACCTTGACCCGGCCTCTTTAAGTTGCTCTTCAGGTAGAACCGAATTTCCGAACAAACAAACCAACTTAGCAAGTAACATATATTAGGGATAGTTCTCTGTATCCCTCCCATATTTCCTCACAAGCAGGAATTCTTTGCTGTTCCCACCTCAGTTTACAAATCGGTTGCTGACGAAGCAGTGGTATATAAGGGGAGGTATATCATTTGCTCTCTTCTCTTCTGTAAGGCTTCCAACCCCTTGTCTGTCAATAACCAAAGGGGCAGTGGAATGAACTGCACTCTGGGTTTTGTTGGGATCGAGTTCAAAACCGTTCTTTTCATTGCTTTCAACTTACTTGTCTTAGCATTCTGGTTTACGTCGGGTGAAGTCTTTTAGAATCTGCGACAACCACTTACAGGAGATATCAGAGAAAGTGCAGTAGACCTGATCATTCAATACGCTTATCTCTTTCAGATTAGAATTGTCCGGTAAAAACGACAGAGCAACGGCGCTAAGGGATGAAATGGACGAGGCAGTTCGCCGTATGGATCAGCTAGAAGCAGAGTTTGGGGAAATAAGTAAGCTGATCCGAGAAGAGGTAAGGAATTGCTCTTGCCACAGTTTGTCTTGCTTTGTCACCACCATTCTACACAGATTGGACGTTTCGAAGTTCAACGTCGGCACGATATGCGTCAAATGTTCATTGAATACCTTGAGTCACTTGTGCAAACCCACACCGAGGTAGGAAATTTAGTTTTTAGAATTTGTGAGAAATGTTCTGGATAAGAGTTTTCATTTATAGTAACTTTATTTGAATCAGTAGCTACTCTCCCATCCCATTACGGCGGTAGTTGTGTAAGATTCTTAGAACCATGCTTTTTCTTGGCTATAATGTACGGTATCCCACCTGATTCCTTTGTTAGGATAGGCAGTGGGGGTCCGAAATGGCTAGGCGATAGATTAAGATATTACTGCTGTCTAAACATCCAGGAGGAGGAACTGTAAAGAAAATGGGATGAGTGAGGAGACGCGACGCCGTATACCATCAGCCCAGTCAGGAATCAAATCAGGAATGGACTCTCGCAGGTACCATCCACGGCTCTTATCCCTCCGGGATCGGCTAGCTGGTACCAGATTTGTCTGTTGAGCTTAAAGTACTGCCACGTTCATTGCCCGACTCCTGCGAGTTCCTGTATTCTGCAAATTTTGTTGGAAATACCGCTACGATTTCGATCGCAAGTAGAATGTGTGTCGCAACATAGAAAAGGTTTGCTTTGCCGAGTGCTCAAGCGGCAGTTGGCACGATGATTTGGTGCTTGGCCACAAATGCCAGTGGGTAGTACGAAAGTGGAGAAATACAAAGTGAAACGCTCAAAATCCCACGAAGAAAGAGCCTGCGTTTCAAAGACTTGAATATCGATTTTGGACGAGTTTTCCGCAGGTATCTTACCCATACCGGCTGCCGAAGGTACGGCTGCATATGTGTACTCATATATCCATGCAGCATCACCGCCGCTTCATACATATCCCTCGCTTCATAATTTACTTAGTAAATGAAGCAGTACGAGCCGTCGCAGAACGCGTCGGTCCATTGGTGGACGGGCGGTGCGTTAGGGTCGCGAATGTATAGCTTCCGTCTCTTGGAGGGAAAAGCGCCAGCAGAACTGCCCAGGGTCGACGGAATTCTGTCCATGCCAAGGCACATTTAATCACTACTCGGTCCAGGGGGGATACATTGTGCCAACCTGCCTTTGAGGTGTGAGGCAGGGGTGGTAGCGGCCAAACTGCCGCTTACCAAACGCCGCGATTCCGGGGTTCAAGTCCCGTGTCGGCTTCCGCTCGCCTGCTTCTATCCTCTGGGATGCTGAATTGGTAACATACAGTCGTCATCCTTGCACTTGATAGTCAATGTCAGTGCGGCTGCGTGCGGCGCGGTCGCCCGCACCCGTACTGCACCAATCGTTGAACCAGGAAGTGACATTACTGTATTATCCTTCGTGTTACTCGTTTTCTATCACTTTTTGTCGCATACGCGTTTCAACGAAAAGGCTGAGAAGGCTTCAAACAGTGTGCACGCTCCTTCTCGCCGACACGCCCCTATCAAGTGCACAAGGATACGGACTGTATTTGTCAGGGAGCATAAAAACAGTGACCTGAAGACTGGTCGGCCTCCGCAGCTCATTGTATAGGCCACATCGTATTCAGTAAGCACTACGATTCTTATGGGAAGTAGAATGCGTGCCGCATCCCACAAAGGAGTTGATCAAAGACGAAGCACTGTCCCCTTTATATACTTTTACGCGCGGCCTGAAAAGCCATGAGAAACAACATAGAGCAGGCTAGTACAGAAGTGACGGAGATTATGATTGAGTATAGTATTTGCTTGCAGATGCTGGATGTTTGGGATAAGTTCGAACCGGAGACTCGTTCGATCACGGCATGAGTTGTGACCTCGAAATGACTGAGGTGGGTCTTCAAGGGGGCCCCCCAGTACAGAGTTTTTTTTTTACTAAATCCCTTGTTTTAGTATCACCACGACGTTTTGAATGGCATTCCGAAAGGCTTTTATCGAGATGGTTTATGAAGATGTAATGTAATGTTTCTTATTGTATTTAGAGTTTGTTTTAACTTATTTATATTGGTGCTGTTTTATCAAACGATCGAGTCGCCAAATGTCGAAGAGGTACACTAGCGTTTGAGATGCTACTGTAGTTGAAGGGGCACGCAGCGATGTATGATAATGTCCATCCTACTGCGCTGCTCTTGATATGAGCGCAAGTTTAGTCTGCGCGCATTGCGCGTAAGCCGAGCACAGAAGAATATTGCAGGGGCACGTCGTGACCCGCTCAAATACAGTTTCGCCGCGTTTGAGAGTTTCGTTGTCCTGGTCGAGCATATTTTATGTTTTTGAAGGGTTGTTGTAGTGTTCTTTTCTTTGACATAATCATTACTGTTTATGTTTACTATTTCCTGTTGGTGAAATCTTCGCTGTGATGATATTGGCCTCTTTCTTTTCTGTTTTAGTTGGATTTGAGCGCGTTCGAATGCCTGTCCCATTGGCTTGTTTTTCTGCTGAGGAACACCAAGAGCACAATTCGTAGTAGGGTAAGCCATCAAAACTTTGGCGCGGTTTGGGGCCGTTTTCCACCATTTGTTTAGCGTGCCCGCTTTGTGTGGAGAATAAGCTGACGCCTTGCCAGGCCGACCCGCACTTCATCGGCAGCGAAAGCAGCTGGACCTAAAGTCCGGTTTTTACTTCGACTGCAGCAGCAGCGCCATTGGTCGTTGCGGTTTTGAGCTCATTGCCCCACTGCGAAGTCGTGCTCCCTGTCCATCAGTAAAAGTGCTCATTGCCAAATAGATTTCTTCCAATTTTTCTTCTTGTTGTAATCCTGACGCATAAAAGCAATGATCAACTATAGAGAAATCCTATCCGATAAGCTTTTTCTAAGCGCAATGTGATTTACATTCAGTCAATTTTATTTTATAGAGTGCTTTTATGTTTTTTTTGAATGCATAGAGAGATTCATAATAAATCTGAGCATGTATTGTGTAGTGTTGTTTTTATGTGTTGTGCCATCACCAACCGTTATGGGGTCCCAATTGAGCACCTTCGGAAATGTTCCGTCCTTGGACTGATGCCAACTCGTCATAACTATGAGATTGGGCTACGAGGTCCTCACAGTTTTCTTTGGGCTTTTCGTCAGAGTTTCGACTTTAAAGACAGTCTCCGCCAAGATGACCGAGATGCAGTACCCCTTCGAAGGCAATTGCACGATAAATCCCGAAGACAAGTAGGATTGATACGCCTGGCACGGAACTGGGGACTTGAGCAGGCGCTGCGTAGCGCCTACCAAGGGAGAAGCCCCTTTAAGGGCCCTATCCAGCTACAACACACCGATCCGAACGCCCACCACGCCTTCCCGCCCACAAACCGTACCTTAATGTTGCATCGATTTATTTACTAAGAAAATGTGGAGAGACATGCAGTCTTATCTACCGTAGCACTTACTTATTGGCAAGTGCCCATTGGAGAGTCGTCCGAAACTGCTTTTCCAGTTTTCAAAAACGGCGGCTTTTCTTCGCAGGTTTTTGACCGTTTCACTTCATTTTTTCGCCAATTTTCCCACTATATAGCGCCCTGCCAGCATTTTAGGCCGAGTACCAAATTATCGTGCCATCTTTAAA